CACATTTTGTATGCTGTAATGATGCTCAGTGGATGAATGTAAAATTAATTAATTAAAATTAAAAAAAAGAATTATGTTAACTTTATTGATTTATTTACTTTATTTCGGCCAAAGAGGGACAGAGTGAGAGAGAGCGAGCGAGAGAGAGAGCAGGAAAGTGAGAAAGCAAGCTGCCAGGTCCAGAACTTGAACCACAGTCAGCCACACGGGAGTCCAGTGCCCTTAATCACCATGCCACCTGCCGGTCCCCTTAGTGTTTTTTAAGCTGCTAGGTGTGGGACTTGAACCACATGGATCTAGTTCATTTGACCATCATGGGGTGACCCTATCCTTTAGCCAGCCCCATATTGAGGGCACATGTGTGCCCAGCGTACTCAGAAACATCTCCAGATGTGAACCTGGAATGTTCCCATGTGGTTGGCCTGGAGGTGTCAAGTTATACTGCTGTGCCACCCTCTGGCCCCAGGGGATTTTAAACAGGGGAATGACACCATGGGATTTATTTACACTAAAAAAATATTTTTAAAGGATTAATTTTATTTATCATTATTTTTTTTAATTTGCTACAGGGCACATGTGGTCACCAGAGACAGAGAGAGAGAGAAATAGGGAGGAAAAGTGAGAAATCACTCCCTGGGGGGATGGCCAAGCTGCAATCTCTTCTTCATTCACCCCTCGGGATTTTGGGCATGCAGGCACATACCTGGGTTGTTTTTCAAGTCACAGGGTCTGGGACTCAATCTGCACAGTCAGCTATGTGGTATCCAGTGCCTTAATCTCTATGCTACCTGCTGGTCCCCTCATTGTTAAGTTTTTATCCTGTGTCAGTCTGTCTCACCTTCATGTACTTGTTGAAGACAGTCTGGATCTCCTCATTGATGCTAGGCTGTAGGACAGCTCGGAGGAGATCCATGGAGATGGCAGGATCTGTGAAACTGCATTCAAAGGAAGACAAAAGTCAGAGGGTGTGTCCCAATCATACCCTCTCCCCATCTGCCCAGCCGATTACTGACAAAGGATCATTTAACAATATTAATGGATAGATTTTGCTGAAAATTAGTTATGTGTTCAGATTCTGTGCAACTCACATAAGTGCATTTACTTCATTCTCATAAATAAGTCTATGAAGTGGGTATTAATTTCTTTTTAAATTTTAATTTATTATTATTATTAGTTATTATTAAGTTTCCTATAGGGCATGTGTGCTCACCAGAGAGAAAGAGAGAGGGAAAGCAAGCCACCAGGTCTGGGACTAGCACCATGGTGAGTCACGTGAGGCCAATGTTTTAACTGCCACACCACCTGCCCCAGTAGGTATTATTTTCAAAGAGTTTTATAAAATATATTTATAAAATAGATATATATTATTTACACATATTTCTTACACTTTAACAATTATAGTGAGCCTGTACATAATCACCACCCCAGTAAAAAAACAATATATATAACTAGCATCCCAAAGTCCAATTTTGTGCTCTTTCCTTTCTCTGAGATAGATATTATCAATTTTACATTTGAGAAAAGAGACGCTCAGAGAGGTTAAGTGGCTTGCCCAAGGTCACCTAGAATCTGTATTACAACAGTTCTAACTCCAAAGCCTGCACTATGAACTCCCATGCGAGCTGACCTCTTGAGGAACGTCAAAAACGGAGGCAGTGGATATTTGGGATTTTAGTATTCAAGTCACAGATCACCTGATTTTGTATGTGTCCTGGTTTAAGGGCACACACAGAGTTACCGAACCTGAGTCTCTCCTTTTCCAGTCCAGCGCTCTTTCTACTGGGAATCCCGAAGCAGCCATCCAGGCCAGGGGCGGGGATTAAGTCAGCCTTACCTGGTTGTCATCTGTGAGCGGCGGCCCCTCCGCTGCCCCTGCCGGTGCTTTATCATTATGTTCCAAGGGTTCTGCGGAGACCAAGGGAGCAAATGTCACCGAGGTCGTGATACTGGGATGGGGTGGAGGGAGGGGCGCGTACGAAGCGAAACCTAGACATCCTCGCTTCTCAGGGCCCCTCGCCACCTCTCACTCCTGGACCGCGGGGAGACAGTGGTTGGAGGGCCCTGCCAGGGAAGAACTGAGGAAAAGTCTCCTGCCTCCAAGTCCCCAGTTCCTCCCGCCGTGCTCTGGGACAGCAGGAGGAAGGGAAGCGGCGTTGACCAAGGGGTCCTCTGTGGCAGATGTGCTGGCACTTTGCCGGATCCCAGTCCCACAACGTTACACGCAGCTACTGAACGTCCCCGCTGGACAGACGAGGAGCCGGGGTGCAGGGGTGGCCCAACTGGCCCACGTCACCTAGCCGGGAGGGCGGTCCCAGAATCTGAATTCAGGTCGTCGGACTGCGAAAATGCCAACCCCTTGGCAGCGCCAGCCGCCGCGTTCTCTCGCCCGCGGGCAGGGTCCCGGGAGCCCGAGGCCCTCCCGGCCCGAGCCCCGGTCTCCCCGGGCGCCCTCACCGTCAGAAC